TAAAATAAATAAAGAAAAGTGGAAGAATTTGGCTGTTAATTTTTCAGGTTCTGAGCTTTTTTGTGTTAGGAGACTCTGTTACTTCATCAGTTTTGTTTATTAGTGCAAATCTATGTGGTATCTTATTGATTTTATTTTGGGAGGTTATATATGCCTTATATAAACTAGATTTTCCAGTTTTTTTCTAAATTTATGTTTTTAAAGTATTTATTTGTTATCCTTTGGATTTCATTGGACCAAATTTGTTGTAATTCTCATTTTAATTTTATTAGTTGAGGTATGCTCTTTCAGTTAGTTTGACTAGGGGTTTGTCCATTTTTTTTCTTCAAACAACTAACTTTATGTATTGTTCCTTTATACTATGTTTTATTAATTTCTGCCCTAGTTTTGCAGTTACTAATTTTGAGTTTGGCTTTTTTTTTAAAGACCTTGACGTATATTGGTTTTTTTTTTGAGATCTTTCTGATTTTTAAACAAAATATAAACATCCATAATTGTAAACTTTCCCCTTAGAACTGGTTTTACTGTGTCATAAAGGTTTCTGATAAGTTGTGCTTTCATTTTTGTTTTACTTTGGGAATTTTAAAATTTCTTAAGTGCTTTCTTCAGTAACTCACTGGTCTTACAAAAGTGTATTGTTCAATCTTGTGTATTTGTATAGTTTCTATGGTTTTTCTTATGCTGATTTCTATCTTTATTCCACTATGACATGATAAATTATTTCAAGAAGGGCATGGTAGCTCACACTCAAATCTCATCACTTAAGAGATGGAAGCAAGTAACATAGAATGTTTGAAGCCAGACTGGGCTACAGTGTAAGACCCTGTTCACATTATTTATTTTCTTTTGTATTTGTTAAAAGTTGCTTTGTGTCTTAAAGTATGATCTATTCTAGGCAAGTTTCATGAATTGGATGGAATGTTCTGTAGGTATCTTTTTTTTTTTTTTTTTATTTTACGAGACAGGGTTTCTCTGTATTGTTTTGGAGGCTGTTGGTCCAGCCCGGCCTCGAACTCACAGAGATCCACCTGCCTCTGCCTCCTGAGTGCTGCTGTAGGTATCTTAATCCCTCTTATCTATGGTCCTACTGAATGTCTCTTGGGGATATGGACAGAGTACTTTCAGAATCACCTCTAATTTGGTGGAAACAACTGGATTCCTGTTTCTTTTCTCAGTTGGTAAATTAGGTTTGGTTGATAGGCTTTTTTTTTATAGCCAACTATAGAAATAACTCATGGAATGTTTTTTGATAAGATTTTATAAGCAGGGCTGAAGATGTGTAGCTCAGTAATTTAGTGCTTCCCTAGCCTGTATATGACTCTGATCCCCAGTACTTGGAGCAGGTGAGAGAAAAAGCACAAAAAAATGACCATGTTGGCCCATTTACAGTGGAAATATTGGGGGGGGTGTGTGCAGTGGAAAGGTTGGATAGAAAGAAACTTTGCTGTATTAATGTGTGAGCAAACACAAGGAAGATTTCCACAGAGCCAGGGAATTGGCTTTGCTTTGCCATCCACTCACCAACATATGCCCTGTATCCCTACAGTTCACAGCTCCATATATGAAAATATCAGAATGGTCCTAAGGCCAGCACCTGGGTAAAAGAAGGAATGTGGAGGAAGAAGACTGTGTTTAATTTCTGTTTGACCCATAGTCTCCTCAAGACACAGAAAGTTTGTAGTTAAAATTACCTTTGAAAAATATCAGAAAATGTAGCCAGTAATTTTTAGAAGTAATATGCTAAACACTTAAAGTACAGTGTACTTGCAGTCAGTTTAGGGCATGACTGTGTTTTGATTATAACTAAGAAAACAACAAAGTAATTGCATTATATTTTTTCAGGGGGAAATGTGTACAATTAAATGGGGGCGTGGGAATTGAAGGTAGCAATAAAACCATAGAAGAGGATGTTAGAGGCTGACATAAGCTGTGATCTTCTTGGCATTGTCCAGAGAAGTGGAACCTGGGGGCCCGGAAATCTGATTTTGAAGATGTGATATATACTTATCCAAGATTACCCTAGCAGTATATGTTCCCTTTTTTTATTTTTGGTTTTTGAGACAGGATTTCTCTGTGGCTTTGGAGGCTGTCCTGGAACTCGCTCTGTAGACCAGGCTAGTCTTAAACTCAGAGAGATCCACCTACATCTGCCTCCTGAGTGCTGGGATTAAAGGCGTGCACCACCAACACCTGGCAGTATATGTGCTTTTAAAAATTATTATTTTTAATTATTTGAGACAGGCTCTTACTTTGTTGCCCAAAATGTTCAGTCCTCTTGCGTCTGCCTTCTGAGTGCTAGGATTACAGATGTGTGCTATCATACCTACTTAAAAAATGTGTGTGTATGGTTTATGTACTTCTTAGTGTGGGCTTGTGTGTGTGTGTGTGTGTGTTTGTGTGCATGTATGTCTGTGTATCTGTGTGTATGTATATGTGTGTGTGTATGTATGTCTGTGTGAATATGTGTGTATGTGAATCTATGCGTTTGTGTGTATGTATGTCTGTGTGAATGTGTGTGTGAGTATGTGTGCGTATGTGAATGTGTGCTGTTTGGGAGATGTGGCTTTGCTGGGGAAGCAGGTCACTGCTGGTAGACTTTGAAGTTTCAGAAGACATTTTGCGTTAGCTTTTTCTGCCTCCTGTTTGTGGATCAAGATGTGAGCTCCCAGCATTACCTGTTGCCATGCTTCACCATCCTGGACTCCATCCCTATGAAACAATCAGCACAATGAAGCACTTTCTTTATAGGTGTCCTTGATCATGGTGTTTGTCACAGCAATAAAAAACTAAGACAAGCATCTTTATCTGCAGAGCCGTCTCATTGTCCTTAGTTATTTGAATCCTTGTTCCATAAAAGAGCTGAAAATATTACATTTTATTTATTTGCAGCCATTGCTAATCAGAAGGCTTATGTATTTTAATTCTAGCTCTTGAAAGACTGAGAAGTGAGGCACTCTGTGAGTTTGAGGCTAGCCTTCTCTTCACTGGAAGCTCCAGGCCAGCCAGGGCTGTATAGTGAGACTCTGTCTCAAAAAACAAACACACAAACCAAAACACTAGAAATATTTAAGGCATTTAATTTCCTGGGCTATAAATTGATTTGTGCTGTGATTCAGCTTATCACTTAGATACATATACTGCAAAATAGTTTCTATGTTCATCAATACTATTATTTTGTTGTTTTGTTGTTGTTTCTCAAGACAGGATTTCTCTGTGTAACAACTTTGGCAGTCCTGGAACTCACTTTGTAGACCAGGCTGTCCTGGAAATCAAAGAGATCTGATTGTCTCTGTCTCTCAAGTGCTGGGATTAAAGCTGTGTACCACCCCCGCCTGCCTAATAATACTAGATGCTTTGCTTTTTTGTTGTTGTTTTTTGTTGTTGTTGTTTTACTACCTTGATAAAAGCATTGTAGCTGCAGGTTTTTGTTTGCTTGTTTATTTGTTTTGTTTTGGTTTTTTAAGACAGGTGTCTCTGGCTGTCCTGGAACTCCCTTTGTAGGCCAGGCTGGTCTCAATTTGAAAAAGATCCACCTGCCTCTGCCTCCCAAGTACTGCTTTTAAAGGCTCTGCCCAGTGGAGCTGCAGTTTTTTTATTGGCTTTGAAGAGAAAATTAGATGAGTAATTCTTTCTAGTTAAAGAACTATTAACTGTCTTAGTTAGGGTTACTATTGCTGTGATGAAACACCATGACCAATCAACTTGGGGAAGAAAGCATTTATTGTGCTAATGCTTTCACTGTTCCTCATCAAAGGATTCAGGGCAGAAACTCAAATGGGGCAGGAACTGGAGGCAGGAGCTGATGCAGAGGCCACGGAGGGGTGCTGCTTACTGGGTTGTTCCTTATGTCTTGCTCAGCCTGCTTTCTTATAGAACCCAGGACCTGCAACCCAGGGGTGGCAGCACCCACAAAAGCTGGACCCTCTCCTATCAATCACTGATTTAAGAAAATGCCTCCATAGGTTTGCCCACAGCCTGTTCCCATGGAGGCGTTTTCTCAGTTGAGGCTCCTCTCTGATGACTCTAGCTTGTGTCAAGTTGTCATAAAACTAACCATCAACCATCCAATTTTTGCCATTCTCTCTCTTAAATAACAAACCAAAAACATTAAAAAAGAAATAAGCCCAAACCATCCCAAATTAAAAACCAGAACAACCAAACAAACAAATCTTTAATACTCTCCCTTATTCTCTCAGTGAGAACCATCTAGGTAGCTGTGAAACCATTTTGTCAATTTCTTATGAAATCATTTATTTTCAGAGTACATTAGAAAACAAACAGCCTGAAAATTAGTAAATACATATATTTGAAAACCAGCTTTAATTTTTTTTAATGGGGCAGGAGAGATGGCGGCTCAGTTGCTAATAGCACATATTACTCTTGCAGGGGCCTGGGTTCTGTTTCTAGCACCACATGGTTCACAACCATCAATAACTTTAGTACCAGTGTCCTCTTCTGACCTCCATGGCACCAGACATGCACTTGGTGAACAAACACACGTGCAAGTAAAATACCCAGGCATAAAATAAGTAAACACATGTACAGATATTTAAAGTCTTATTATGTGTTTGTTTATTGTGTATAAGTATGTGCATGAAACAGCACAGGGGTGGGGCAGGGCAGTTTTCAGGAGGTCTGTTCTTTTCTGCTGTGTGGGTCAAACTTGCATTATCAGGCTTGAAAGCAAAGGTCGCCTATCTTCGAGTCATCTTGCCAGCCTGATCATCAGCTTTTGTACCTCATGATATTCTTTTTATTTTTTATTTTTTGGTTTTTCAAGACAGGGTTTCTCTGTGGCTTTGGAGGCTGTCCTGGAACTAGCTCTTGTAGACCAGGCTGGCCTCGAACTCACAGAGATCCGCCTGCCTCTGCCTCCCGAGTGCTGGGATTAAAGGCGTGTGCCACCAACACCCGGCTGTACCTCATGATATTCTAAAGCCACGTGCTTAGACTCCTAATGAAATGAAAAACTTTTATTTACTTATTCTTTTCTTTTATAGGAATATATATGTCCCAGATGTGAATCAGGCTTTATTGAGGAAGTGACAGATGATTCCAGGTATTGTATAAGCTTACGAGTAAACCAAACATTCTAGTGTTAAAACTGTTTTCTCTTAGTGTTGATTGAGTGGATGGAAGGAGCCTGTATTGTAGCTTACCCTCTGCTGGAGTAGAGACTGTGTGGGTGTGAGTGTGCACGTGCACATACACACGAGGACAGAGGGCAGGAGTGGGAAAGGAAAGAAAATCTGGAGAGCAATGTGATGATACGACTTCATCTGCTGCTTCTGATTGTCACACTTAGAAAACCTCTGGAGCCATATCAAAATAAATCCACTAAGTCTTCCTTTATTTCTTTGGGAGTCCTCTTGGATTTTTAATGACTTTTTTTTTGCCTGAAGTTAAATTGCTGTTACATATATTTAGTGGGCTGTGTAGACTTCTGATAAGAACTCTAATGAGGCAAACAGTGTAATCTAGCCAGGGAAACTGAGTTGTTTCTTGGTCCATGTTCAGATGAAGATTAGTGTTATCAGACTTTGCCATCTTGCTGCTGTAATATTAATATTTGGGTTTGTTCTCTTTGCTTTGGTAAAGGTATCATATTGGTAAAAAGAGGAACTATTTTCTCTAAGTGATATATTTCTTGATTTTTATGAATAAACCACATTATAGCATTTGAACAATTGACAAAATACCAACTGCTTAAAAAAATTTGTAGTCTGAAGTTTCTTAATCTTGGAGTGACTTTGGAGATTTATTCCAGTTCATAATTCCTGTACATTGCTATTGGCAGAACCTAGAGTTGAAGGTCTTCTCCACAACCAGAAAAAACTGTATGTACTGTTAGTTTTAATGTACTAATGGTTGATGGTTATATATGTAAATGCATTGGAGCTTCTGGGACAGTGTGTGGCATGGGATCTAATTTGGTATAAACACTTGAATGTTAACGTAACAGTTTTGGTTTTAAATAACAATGCCAGCATTATGCCTGTAAGATTAGCATGACAACAAAATTAGCAGTGTGTGGATGGCATGTTAACTTTGGATTTTTTCTTGTTTGTGTTATTATAATTGCACTAAATATGTATATAAGGCACTTATGTTCTGCATGTGTTGAATAAAGAGTATACTGTTGTAGGGGAGTAACTTATGGATGTTACCCTAAGTTTAAAATAGTAATTCTGATTTCTTTAGACATGGAGAGCTTTTTTTTTTTTTGATGAAGAAATCTAAGCTTTATTTCTATGATGTTAGCACAATATACTCACGACATGGAGAGCTTTTATACAAAGTACAGTTATACCTGAGTATAGTGACTAGTTGCAAGTTGAATTTTTTTCTTCCATGGATTCTGTTTTCACTAAATTCTTATATTTGTGCCTGTATAGGTCAAAAATTGTCCTATATATATGCTGTTGGTGGCAACTATTTAAATGTCAATATTTGGGGTTTTGAATGAAGTCAGTGTTTTTAATGAGGGAAGAAATCTTATTTTTAGATTCACAGTCTTTTGGGCAATGAATTATTACACTATTCTATAAAATTTGTAAGTATTTGCTGGCTTTAGTACTTAGCAATTACAGTGATTAGTATTAGATGGTAAAAATTATTGGAGCTGAGCCTGATGCTGTAAGTCAGAAATTCTAGTTACTTAGAAAGATCATAAGGCTTGCCTGGGCTTTAGGGTTCACAGGCCAGCCTGGACAATTTAGACCTGCTCTCTAAAGAAAAAGTAAAAAAAAATGCAGCTCAGTGATTCAGCCCCAGTACCAGAACAACAAATTACTACTAGGAAGTCTTTGCGTGTAAATGTAAGATAGGAGCCCCATCTGCCTCCACACATACTAGAGGACAGCTTGTAAATTTTGTAAAACTTTGTAAGTTATGTAAAATTTATTAGAATGTTGTTTTTATTGTCCCTTCTCTATGTTTAGTTCTTAAAGTACAGATTTTTTTTTCAAGAGGATTTCTCTGTATTGCTTTGGAGCCTGTCCTGGAACTCGCTCTGTACACTAGGCTGGCCTCAAACTCACAGAGATCCTCCTGCCTCTGCCTCCCGAGTGCTGGGATTAAATGCATACTCCACCACTGCCCAGCTAAAGGATTTGTATTTTTTTTTTTTTTTTTTTTTTTTTTGGTTTTTCGAGACAGGGTTTCTCTGTGGCTTTGGAGGCTGTCCTGGAACTCTCTCTGTAGACCAGGCTGGCCTCGAATTCACAGAGATCCGCCTGCCTCTGCCTCCCGAGTGCTGGGATTAAAGGCGTGCGCCACCAACGCCCGGCTAGGATTTGTAACTACGCCCGGCTAGGATTTGTAACTTTTAATACAAACACAGTATCAAATGATTTCTCAGAGTAAGGCTTGCAAATGAGTACCACAAGGATAATATTTGCTCTTGGTTTTAGACTAACTAGGGTGTGTTTGTTTCCCTAATGAACTCAGCAAAGTGCCTGGACTGGTATTGTAATCCTGAAAATGAAAGTAATTTGTAGTAGTTCAAAGGTTTTATGATAGGGCATATGCTTGTATTTATTGCTTGAAGAGCTATCTAGCAGTTTTTATGATTCAGTCCATCCTCCTTTCTCAAAAGTGTTAGTCAGTTTCTTCTCTGCAAATTTCATATGGGCAGTGGGATTTTATCTCTTCCTGTTCTTTTGGGTCCTTGAAAAAAGGTATTTTATCACTTAAGACACATGCTATACAGAGAAACCCTGTCTCAAAAACAAAAAAACAAAAACAACAAAAAAAGACACATGCTATTAATTCAACAACTTTTGGTATTAAAGTGATGGTAAGGAATGCCTTTTTTAATAGCATCTGACAAATAATAAATGCATATATATGAAGTATTAATAATAAAATACAGTTTTTGACCTTTCAGTTTATATTTATGAAAGGAGGAAAGAGTTGAAATGGTTGAGGCAAATCCTAGCTATTTATAACATAACAGAACTTAGAACCAGAGTCAGAGTACAGAGGGATGTAGAGGAGTCATATTTGGTTGGTGAGTTCAGAAGCAATTAATGGAGGATATAGCCTTGAAGGGTGTGTAGGATAGTCTAAGTCTAGGATAACCTATTCAAAGAAGACATTTGGGGAAGGTTGTTTTTTGAGGTAGCTCTGGCTGCCTCTGTTTCCTTAGTACTGGGGTTAAAGGCATGTGCCACCATTACTTAACTCAAAGAAGAATTTGGTATAGAACTCTTCTAATATACTAATCTATACCAGGGCCTTTAGATTGCCAGAACATACTAGCTCAGTTGTCTTGATTATTTATTTGGTTGAATGGTTTCATAGTGAAGCATTTTTTTTTCCTTAGACTCTCTGAGGATACATACTTACTTTTCTTCCCTTGCTACACTAACTTTGGATTGTGTTACTGGCTGATTGTGTTGAGTCTTTCTTTCTGTTGGATGTAGCTGTAATTCATTTGAAAGTCACTTGGTTTTGTTGTTTGGTATGGCAATTTTCTTTTGCCTATCTGTTACCGTTTTCTTTGTTAAGATATTCCTGCAGACACAATGTCTTCGGCAGGTGTCCTGTAGGGATGAGTTGCTTTTCCTTATTGAGCTCTGTTCTCATTTTGCCATTCTATATTTAGCTTCTGGGAAGGGAGCTCATTCCTGGGAACAGAATCACCACCATTGCTTTTTCTCTTTAGTTTTTTAGGTGGTGGCGGTAGCCGGATAGATGATAGCACGTCAACACATTTTGCAGAGGTAAGTTTTCCTTTGACTGTAGAGATTGCTTAGGAAGTGGTGGGGATTAGTGATGACAGGTAATCACCTAATGTAGCATTACATGTAAGATAAACTGAATGTGTAAGAAAAATGTGGTACCCAAGGAAAGGTCTGTGTCCTCGAAGAAGTCATAGCCTGTAAGCTGTCCTACTTCAAACCTGGTTGTGTTTTCTTTTTCTGCTGCAGCTTTGTGTATGTGAATAAGAAGCATGCACTGTTTGTGAACAGCTGTTTGGATGAGTTGTTGTCCAAATTAATAAAGTAGTTTTCAACATTGTATAATACCAGTTTTTAGAATTTACCTTTTGTTAACATAGTAGTATGGCCTTTCAGATCCTAAGATGGAATCTTTAATTAATTAACTTCTATTTCTTTGTATAATATGGCATCCATTTATTGAATCAATCTCTCTCTCCCTCTGTCTCTGTCTCTGTCTCTGTTTCTCTCTCTGCACCTGAGACAGGTTTCACTATATGGTCCAGGCAGGCCTCATACTCACTTTGTAGCATTGACTGTCCTTGAACTCATAATTTTTTTTGCCTCAACATCCTAGGTACTAAGATTTATATAGGTATATAGCACCATGGCCAGTTAGAAGAACAAAATTCTGAACTATTATCTGAAAATAGAAAACTAGGGTGTTAATCTATATTCTTGAATATAACATCATTTACTTTTAATTCAGAATACTTTTTTTTTACATGGTTTTCATTGACTTTTTTGGGGGGGTTGTGTAACTCTTTGTACCTCTTGTTTCTTTTGAGAAGGGGTTTTATAAGGTTTCACTACATTTCCTAGGCTTGTCTTGAACTCATGAGCTCAACCAGTTCTCCTGTCTTAGCCTTTGGAGAAGCCAGGACTGTAGAAATGTGCCGTTACGCCCAGCTCTCAAACCGTTTTTAAGTGTACACTTCAGTGGCATTCATACTCCATGCTTTTAGTCACTTAGAGACTGTTGACTCTGTGGGAAAATCCAGTTCATTGCATAGCAAACACTTTTACTTTCTTCTTTTACTTGTGTACTTCTGTTGCCACACAGCTTGCTGGGAACAGAAAGCTGATATATAGCCAAAACAATTTCTAAATGTTAAATCCCATCATCAGAATTATGGGATTAAAAATTATTATGTATTCCTGCATGCCAGAAGAAGGCACCAGATCTCATTGCAGATGGTTGTGAGTCAGCGTGAGCATCCAGTGCTCTCAACCTCTGAGCCATCTCTGTAGCCCTTGTTTTTTGTTTTTATCTATGTATTCTTTTTGTTTCTGAATCATAGTCTTTTCAAATGTAATTGAAGTGCCAGGAGAGCTAGCCAAATATTTTGATGTCTGTGTGCAAATTGAAAATTTATTGGTAGTGTGCTTGAAGAGTAATAGTTAATAAGCCCATAAATCACTGAATTTTTCTCCTTTTGAAAATTATCTTAAGACCTGTGTCTCCCTCCCCTGCTGATGAAGTTATAGTTAAGAATTCTGTTAAGGATGTTTCCTTTTGCTTATAGCCTATGATAATTTCTAACATCTAGTTCTGAGGTTTTAGTAGACTCTGAACTGCTTTAAGACAAGTTGATGTGAGTGTGACTCCACACAGGTCATGTATTTGATCACTTATTTGCATTTTCTTGTTGATAGATTGAGAAGCATTTTAAGTATACTCTGTGTGAAGCCAGCATTGATTTCAGCATTTCCTAGGTGTGCTATTCCTGGGAACACAGACAGTTAGTTTCTGATTGTGCATATACAGAAGAAACTTCACTTGATTCTCTTTAAGCATTTGTTCTCCTTTAGGGAATTGAAATAGATGGATCTGTCAGTTTTGCATGAGGAGATGCATTGAGTAAGAAGGAAAATAAACATATGTGGTCAGCATTCTAACTTTAGTATCGCTGTATCTGACACTATGGCGTGGGCCACCCTTAATTTTGCAGAAGTGATGGTTGTGAGTTCATCTTCCTTAGTTAGCAGTGACAGACAAAGTTTGTAGCAAGGGTATAATCATGCCCAGTTCTCCCTCTGTAGAATTCTCTTGTCATCATGCCTCAATATTTAATTTACTTTTCTCCCTTCCCCTTCTCAAGACAGTGTCTCACTATGTAGCTCTGGCTATCTTGGAACTCATTATGCAGACAAGTTTGGCCTCCAATTTCCAGAGATCCACCTGCCTCTGCTTGGGTTAACTTCCTCCTTTTAAAGTGATGTTTTGTATTTTATAATTGACAAAAAGTCTTTGTAATATTATAGAAGTTCCCAGAGATCTTAGAGAATGAAGTGAGAACTGTTTTTGTACATAGCACTTCTGTTAGAAGTAGGAGAAGAAAACCAGTGTCTGGTTGCCTCCCCTGCACGGCATGGATATATTAGAAAAAGCTTAGTTCAAGAAAAATTCCCGCCGGGCGTTGGTGGCGCACGCCTTTAATCCCAGCACTTGGGAGGCAGAGGCAGGCGGATCTCTGTGAGTTCGAGGCCAGCCTGGTCTACAAGAGCTAGTTCCAGGACAGCCTCCAAAGCCACAGAGAAACCCTGTCTCGAAAAACCAAAAAAAAAAAGAAAGAAAGAAAAATTCCCAAATACTTAATATTTGTTTATTTTCCCTTCAGGTGAGGCTGAAGTGGGGAGGGTAGCTGGGTGGGAAGAAGGCAGAAGAAGCTTATCAGTTACACAGAGAAAGTGCTTGAGTAACATGCTGAGGTTTAGTGGAGGGGGGGTGTCTAAGATGTCCCGATGTCCCAGAAGTTTGGAGAGTGAGAGGACACTGCTATTCTGAGATTGCTTATGAAAACCTGGTAAGTGAACTCACAGTTCCCCCAGGACCCATTGATTACATGAAAGTCCCTGACTAATGCCTGGTGACAGTGAGGTCACTTACCAAGACAGGTCACTTCAGAGCAAGAAAGCCTTTGGGGCCAGATATGTAAGGCTTAGGTAAGGCCTTGGTTCAGTCTCCAGAACACACACACACACACACACACACACACACACACACACACACACACACACACACACACACACACACACGAATAAACAAATAAATAAGTCTCATGTTGTTAGCCAGTCTTCAGATATTTTTGAGGGTCCCTTTTCTCTTATTATTTTGCTATTACACACATTTTAATTTTTATGTTCTTTTTAGGGGGAGAAGCATGGTCGAGAACATCGTGTAGCTCAGGCTGGTCTTGAACTTTCCATGTACAAGGACTGGCCTTGAACTCATGATTCTTTGAAATGCTGGGCTTGCAGCAGACCCTGCTTTTATTTACCTTTTCTGTTTGTTTGTTTGTTTGGATATTTGTTTTTGAGACTCTGGAGTCCTTAGAGCTCACTGTGTAATGCAAATTGACTTCAAGCTCACCTTGACCTTCCTGCTTCAGTCTGTAGTGCTGAGGGAGGGTACGGTATAGCTGCCATGCCTGACTCCATTTGCCTTTTGAATCTTGTGTTCCAGGAACCCCAGAGCTGTATTTTTATTTTCTTTCACTATACCATTGTTCTTTTTCTGCAAGTTATTCTAATGCTTATTGTGAAACTATTATTTAGTCTCTCTCTCTCTCTCTCTCTCTCTCTCTCTCTCTCTCTCTCTCTCTCTCTCTCTCTCTCTCTCTCTCTCTCTCTCTCTCTCTCTCTCTCTCTCTCTCTCTCGTCTGTGTGTGCACACACATGTGTTTAAGACAGGGTCTTGCTTTGTAGTTCTGATTGTCCTGAAACTCTTAGAGATCCTTCCATTTCTGCCTCCAAAGTGCTGGTATTAAGGTGTGCGCCACCACACCTGGCTTTTCCTAAAAATTTTGGGTAAGTTATTTTCTAGAGATAGGCCTTTTAAAGTTCAAGTCTTTTATACTTTTAGCTTTTAAATGGTTTTATTCAACTTTCTTCCCAACCATTGCTAAGTAGAAGCTTTTTTCTTGTGACAAATGGGGTCTCCTTGCTTCTTCACTTATTTGCTAATAAAAACCAGATGTGGTTTTGGTTTCAAGTATCTAAAACTTGACTGAAGAATTAGCTTTAAAAAGGCTCTTTGGGTTCACATGTAGTTTAAAATAATGTAAAAATAAATTTGAAGTATGGACTAGTTACTTTTCCTGTGGCTGTGATAAAATGCCCTGACAAAACTATTTAAAGGAGAAAAGGGTATTTTGACTCCACAGTCTATTATGCCGGGCTCTTGTGGCAACTGATCAGATGATACACACCTGCACGTTGGTGCTGCTGCTCAGTTTAGTCTGTGAAATGGTGCTGACCTCCTTGATTAACCTAGTCTATATAGTGCTTCAGAGAGATGCCAGAGGCTCATCTCTTAGACACTTTTAGAGCCTGTCAACAGTCAACATTAGCTATTATAGAATAGCTACTCTAATGCCACTTAGCTCACCTTAAGCTGTCTTCTAATGCTTCTATAGCCATTATAATGACATAGTAATTACAAAATTTATTTTATAAGCTGGGATACTGTGATGGTTTGAAAGAAGAGTGTCCTCCATAGGCTCATATATTTGAAAGCTTGATACAGTCAAGGGAACTGTTTGGGAAGGATTAGGAGGTGTGGCCTTGTTGGAGGATGTGTGTCACTGAGGGGTAGATTTTGAGGTTTAGAAGCTCTTTCTCTGTCTTGTGCTTGTGGATCAGATGTAAGCTATCAGCTGCTGCTCTAGTGTCATGCCTACCTGCCAATTGCTATGTTTCCTGCCATGATGGTCAAAGACTCTAACCCTTTAGGACCAGAACCCCAAATTAAATGCTTTCTTATATAAACGTTGCCTTGGTCATGCTGTAATTAAAGATACAACTTGGTACCAGGAAGTACCGTATTGCTTTTATAGGGGTTACAATTAAGAGATTGCCTTGAGTCTCAGAAGAGACTTTGGACTTTTAAACAGGGTTGAAACTGTGGGAATTTTTGAAGATGGACTGAGTGCATTTTGCATTATGACATGTCTCCAAGCCTACGGGGTCAGGGAGTGGAATGTGATAGTTTGAATGAGAAT